CAGACTAAAGTTCGAGATAAAGGGCTGTCGATAGGTAACACCGCCACTGGTCCTTCTCAAGTTGATCTTGGACACTGCAACCGCGATACGAAAGAGGATATAAAGGGTCTTTCCCTGTATTTCAATGTGCCCATTTTGCTGATGCACTCTCATATGCTCGCCTCACACGGTTTCGCCGGCTTGCATTAGCCTGTGGTATGGAACTTGTAGTCAAGTGATTCTTTGAGAACCTCGTAATGGTCCAGAACTCTGACATTGGTCCCTCACGTGATAATGCCGTGGGGTTAAATTTAAGAGTATGTCATGAACATTGTCTCCAGCTTGATGAATCATAGAACGTCAGTTTGACTTCAGATAACGCCCCCCTTGATTCGGCTGCCCCCGTGAAGGGCTGCTCTAATTTACCAATATAAACTATCGATGGATTTGAGTCTGAAGTACCACGCCGTTTCAGTGCGGCGAAGTGTTGGTATTGATCGGGCCTCATCCCCATTAAGGTGCGCCGTTCTGCCAATCACACCCATAGAGGGCGTCCCTCTCCAAGCCATGTCCCTGGACTCTCAAATTGAAATACTTGCTTTTACGATTTACAAGACATACCCCAAAGGACCAATCCATGTGCTGGGGTTGTCATTCCCTGCCTCATCAAAGGGTCTGATCTTGAATGTCTGGTTGGGCACGCATGACGCTCACGCTCAACCTTCCGAAAATCTTTCCCGTGTTTAAGCCCTAGTGTCTCATTAAAAGAACTTGTCTTGCGGGTGCTATAGGCTTACTACAAAGAGATTCTGGAACGTAGGTTTCCCAGTTGAGACACCAATATTTTGTCACTACCGCGGGGTTGTGTAAGTGGCGTCCCTTACCTGAATTACCCCGCGTGAATACCACTCGTTTGCCCGTCCACCGGTGTACTCGTGTATCATCCCCCAATACATACTTGAGAAATGACAGAAAGTTTCTTAACAGAAAAGAGACGGAACTTTGAAAAGTTACCAACTCTTGGATACAAGACTTCCATTTTCGATTCAAATAGGGTTACCAAACTAATTGGGACAACCGCGCGAGATAGCCAAGCACGCGGACGAAGAAACCATATCCTGAGTAGAGTAGTTATAATCCCCCAACTCTCAACCGCTATCTACCATCAAACCTAACGAGTTCATGGTTGACTCTCGACTCGCCCTCAGGATATGGTTTCTTCGTCCGCGTGCTTGGCTATCTCGCGCGGTTGTCCCAATTAGTTTGGTAACCCTATTTG